CCCCGCCCAGTGCTCAGCGCCCCCCGTGGCCGCATCTCTCCGCTCTCTGGCCTCGTTGCCTTTCTTATCTCCTCTTCCACGTCTCCTCTGCCCAGCCGCCCATCTCTCAGTACTCCGCCCAGGACCCCGTCTCATTCTGCCTCCGCCCCTGTTCCTGCGGTTCCTTCTCCCTCTTCCATCCCCACCGCCCATCCCACCCTCCTCCCGCTGCCCCCAGCCCCAGCCCCCCCGGCCTCTCATTCCTCCTGCCCCCCATCGCTACCCCTTTGGCCCACAGCCCCGTCTTCCTTCAGTCACCGTCTTTGCTGCTGGGAAGGTCTGTAGCCTAGTTTGGGGGACTCTCCCCGAGTCCAGGTGGGCTTTGTGCGGGAGGGTTAGGGCAGGGACCCTTGCGCCTGGTGGAGAGTGTGTGGTGTGTTCGGGCCTTTGGCTCCACAGCCTGTACGTTTGTTGTGCAGTGTGCAGCTCTGTGGATGCTGTTTCCTGCAGGCTCACACAGCAAACGGGCCTGTACGTCGACCTCTGCTGTGTCCACGGCTGGGGCGTGGGCCTATGCTGGTTCATGGGTGCCCGTGGCCACGCAGGTAGGGACACACCAGCCACCTGGGCTGCTTCGGGTTTGGGGCAGCTGGGCCTGGAGGCTGACCTCCATCCCGGGTTCCTCCTGGGAAGTATGGGCAAATCCTCCCCAGGGGAGGGAGCTCTGGGGCTGGTGGGGCCTAGGCTTCTCTCTGGTGAGCAGAGCTGGGTCCTGGGGCCTCTGCCCCACTGTTACCCCAGAACCCTTTCCTGCATAGCTTGTGAGTTGGGCACCTTGTTCTTAAGGCTCTGTGATGGGTACGTTTTGTCCCTCTAAACACTTCTCAGTAGCTCAGGAATGCTCCCTGCTGCATTCCCCCACTTTGGCCCTAAACAGTCTGGTCCTGTCAGTCCCTCTTTTGCTGCTGGGATGGATCAGACCACCTGCTGGAGGTTGCCACACCCTCACTATGCAATGCAGGATTTGGGTGGTGTGTATCCCTCCCTGGTCCCTGAGGGGTAAGATCCACATCTCAACATATGAGCAGTTTCCGCTCCTGACCACATAGCTTTGCTTTTTCCTGTCTTGGTTTTGCTGGAAGCAGAAGTCATCATCCAATGCCTGTCCCTTAAAAGAGAAGAAATGGATGCCACAGGTGTGGTCTGCAGTGGGGCCTGCTTGCACCGGCCTTGGTAATCCCCCTGGGCTCATCCCCAGAGACCTTGGGCTCCTCCGCTAGGGCGACACAGCAGGAGTTGGAACCTCTGACCAGGTCAACCTAGCATTCTCTTTGGTTGGGCCACTCTGGAAGTTTTTGCAGAACTGGAGTTTTTTTACTCAAAATGATATTGGTTGAATGCGGCATGTGAGGCTGGTTGCTCCTCCACTTGCTGACAAGCAGAACTGTGGCAGCAGGAGAGTGCTGCCTTGGCCACAGGGAGTTGGCCACAGTGCAAATTTGACTGGCATCAAATGGGGCAGGAGAGAGAACATTAAAGTGTCATCTAAAGAACACTAGGGGTCTTGAATACCTCTGTGCCTGTGCTTTAACTGGTGCTAAAACATCTTCCCAGGGTCTCTTTTTTTGTATGAAACCAGAGCCTTTTCCATGATTTTTAAGGCAGATGGACATGCCATTTTGGGCACTTAGAATGCAGACTCCAAACTTGTGTGTGTCCGTATGCATGCAGGTATGAGCGTGTGCATGGGCATCCTTCAAAGTTGAGGTTTAAAATAGACTTGGAAACAGTGTGATGATGGAGACATTGGGAACACTGTTGGTAACTAGGTCCTAGGATGGGGTGAGGGTAGGAAAGATTAAGAAGCGAGACCAGGCTAACCTATAGGGTGTCTCGATGGCTTCCTAAAAGCCATCTTCCTGCTCCCCCTCACCCCCCAGTACTAGTCCTGTGATACCTTGAGCACAAGTCACTCCTGATGGGAGGAAGAAAGATAAGATTATTAACAATCACTGTTCCAGGCAGTCCATATGCAATCACGTACAGTCTTCACAACAGCCCTGCAGGGTGGGGTTTTATTTCCGATTTGCAGATTGGGGAAACTGAGGCTCAAAGTGGTTAGGGGTCCACCTGAGTGCACATATGTAGGAAGGGGAAGAGCCTGGATTGGAAGCAGACCCCTTGCCCCACCTGCTTGACCCTGGCTCCAAGGTTCATTTGGTCAGCTCCATTGCTTCCTGAGAGGCCCCTCTTCTTGGTGGTAGGGTGTGTGGGAAACCTCCTTTCCCTGGCATAACTCGAGTAACTTCCCTCGAAGCCCTTTCCTCGTTTGGGCTGGGAAGCCCAGCTAGGGTTCAGCTGTGGGTTCTTTGACATTTCTGACCTGCTCCAGGTCTCAGTTATGTCACCTGCCATTTGTGGAGGTGGGCTGAGGAAGGGAACCAACAGAAATATAACCTCCTCCCCCCACCCCCGGTGTCTTTGTGGTCACTGTTCTCTCACTGGGTGATGAGCAACCCTGGACACTAGACAGCCATCTGGTGAGGCAGGCACAGCGGGACCCTTGTCACTGACGGCTTCTCACCAGCTCCTGGTGGAGTCTGAGGGTATCCCCAGCCTTGTCCCACCCTTTCCTTAGGGTGGAAGCCAGGGCCTGGCCTGGTTTCTTAAGGACCTATTTGTGAGGAGGGTCCAGGGTAGGTGAGGCTCAGCCGGAAGCTGTGTAGGCTGTCCAGATGGGGCTTCCTTGGCATACTTGGTCTTGGGGCTCCGTGGCTGTCTGCCTGCCAGGGGCTGTCTGTGACCACAGCCTTCCCACGCAGCAGGCACTCCTCCTGCCCTCTTGATTCTGGGCAGCCTATGAAGCTGCTAAGAAGCAGGTCGGGTGGGATGGACATCCAGGCTTTGTTCCTACTCATTCACTTGTTCCACTGGCATGTTGTGGGCCCCACTGGGAGTGCCAGACGCTGCACCGTGTTCTGGGACTCCAGTTGAGCCATGGCAACAGTAAATAAAAAGGAACGACGGTGGAGAGTGATGGTGTCTGGGATGGAGGTCTGCATGGTGCTCAGAGGGAGCACAGAGACGCTCAGACACTCTTGGGTTTAATTCCTGGCTTAACCACTTACCAGCTGTGTGCCCTTGAGGAAGTCACTAAACCTCTCTCATACGTCTCAGATGACATGTCATGAGGTTGCTTGGACTATTAAATGAGACAGTGCTGGAAAGGAGATGGCACATGCCTGGCAAACAGTAGGTGATTGGGCACTGGGAGCTGTTTTTCTTATTATCATCACTGTGATTGTTATTGGCTTTGTCGCCCTTCTCTGTTTATGTGTCCATCTTAGAACTCCTTGAGGGCTGGGCCTGGGCCATAAGTCCTCTGTTCCCTACTCATCCTTTTCCTGACTCTTCCAGGGACCAGTCTGGCTTCAGCCCCAAGGAGCAGCCAGGACAGGATACTCCTGCCCAGGCTTGGACCATGTCTATAGCTGCACAGTCCAGTATTAACCATATGTGGTTATATATCGTCATTAACCATATGTGGCCCTTTAAATTTCAATTACTTAAATTTAAATAAAACAAGATTTCAGTTTCTCAGTCACACTAGCCACACGTCAAGTGCTCAGTAGCCACATGTGACCAGTGCCTACTGCATTGGATGGCACAGAGCAGCATCCTTCCATCATTGCTGGAAGTTGTGCTGAACTGGGCTTCATAGCAAGCCTGGAGCTCTCAGGGGACAGCTGCCCTAGAAACATCCTCACCGTTGGCTCGAACAGCCACCAGCCATCTCCTGAGCTCTGGGACAGCAAGAAGTTTGTAATATACAGAAACTGAGTTCCCGAGAGCCCTTCCCACATTCCCTTTCAAGTGGCCTTGCTCACCTGGCCAGGGTGGTTGGTTTCTTGACAGTTCTTATCAGCCCAGGCTGGGAAGGCAGGACTGGGATTGCCCAAACTGCAGCTGTTGACTGCTATCCCTGCCGTGTTTCTCCAGCTGGTCCTGCCTGGCTGGGAGTCTCAGAGTAATGTTTCTAATTCACAGCTTTGGCTGGGGCCAGGCTGGCCCAGATGCCCTGACCCTACTCCCTCCCTTTGGGGCCCTGCCCAGCCCCTAGCCTGCTGCCCCCTTGTTGTGCTCTGAACACATGCCTCCTGCTTTCTGCTCACCCTGTTCCTTGTTCCTTCCCCCTGGGCACCATCTCCCTCCTCTCTCTCCAGGCCTGACCTGCATGGCTGGTCCTCCAGAAAGTTCTGATCCATCATGCAAAGTGAGCTCTCCTGCCTTGGAAATGCTCTCCCTCAGACCCCGTTCTTGGCACTCAGCCCTTTCCCCTATGGGTTTACTCTTGTATTCGCTTGTTCTCTCCATCAGACACACGGCAGACACTTTCTGAGTGCCAGCCACGTGGTAGGACAGACAGTGGGGAACAGGCCACAGGCTTTGACAGCTTCAGGCTGGTGGGAGGCCCACAGTTGGCCAGACTTTTCCATCCAGGCCAGACAGTGCTCAGCCAGAGATGGAGCCAGTCCCGTTGGGGAAAGCTTCGCTGGGAGGAGACACCAAGGTTGAAGGGGCCGGTGCTGACTCTGGGCTGCAGACGGGCCAGTGGGCAGGTCTGGAGGAGTCTGTATGGCTAGAGGAAGGGACAGGAATGGCAGGGAGGGAATGGGGCAGGAAGGGTGCGGGTGTCTGATTGGTGGTACAGGTATCTCCTGCTTTTCAAAGGTTCACTTTATGTCACTTCACTTTTACGAGAGACCTACATTAATTAGTACATGTTTTCAATAAAGGAAAGAAATCCAAAGAGGATTTTACAAGAAAAGGTAGCTGCTTCTTTGCTTTACACCATTCTGGTTTACGAACGGTTCCGTAGGAATGCTGTACTTTCAGTTAGTGGGGGAGGCCTGTACTGGACCCCATTCTGGGGGGGCACAGCTGATCTAAACTGGTTCCATGTTGCCCAGTTCCGAGAGCCTGGCATGCAGTAGGTGCTCAGGAGATGGCTGTGGGAGGAATGAGCAAATGCCGAGTGAGTCCTGTGTGTAGAGGGCTGGTATGGGGGCCTCTTCCTACCCTTGGAGCCTGTGATGGAAGCCAGGAAAGCCCTTCCCCTTCACGGCAGCCAAGACTGATCCCCAGAGATGTGACAGCTCAGTCAGGCTACGCCAGAGGAGATGGGGTGGGGGCATGGGAGAACCCAGGGTGGTTCTCGGTGTGCCCTGTATTCATTTCTTGCTTGTCCCACGAAACTTCTCTGAGCCCCCTCCCAGCACCGTGTACCAAGGAGGCTCTAGTCCAGGTGAAAGAGATACTGACAGTTGTGGGAGGAACCTGGCTAGTATTCACCAGTTGAGCTTTACTGGTTATTAAAATACTGCAATACTTCTGTGCTAAGACCTATTGTCCCCAGCAGGCTTGGCCTCTCCCCTCGCTCCCGCTTCCCCATAAGCCAGCAGTAAAGAGTCAACAGCTGGCCTTCTGGGTGGTCTCTAGGACCTTACCCTAGGGCTCGTTCTGATCGCTCGGTTCTGATTTTTAGATATTTGAAGTGTCATCCCTGTGTATAATGTGTGGTGACCTTGATTTGAAGTGTCTGGTCTCCTGTCATCGTTTTGCTTGTGGCTTTGACTGGTCAGGCAGGCTGGGACTGAAGCTGTCCCACAGTGTGCCTTGCACCCTGTGGGCCCCCAGCAGAGTCCAGCGGAAGTGCTGCACCCAACTCAACGCCGCTCCCTCCCTCTCTCTCTCCTGCAGGCAGCCATGAGATCCAGCCGCCCTGAGCGGGGTGCCCAGGAACCCCTCAGTCCCTGCCCTCAGCCCCTATCCTGGAGCTCCTCCAGCCTGCTGGGCGCAGGCCGGGGGCAGAGGCCGGAGCTCCACAAGAGCGCCAGCAGCACCGTATGGCAGGCCCAGCTGGGCGAGGCCAGCACGAGTGCCCAGGTCCCGGAGGAGGAAGGGCGCCAGGCTGAGAGTGAGGAACAGGCACGTGCCTCCAGCCCCCGGCCACAGCCCTGGGCTGTGGGTCACTGGCGGGGCAGCACTGTGGGCGGTGGTGACCTTTGCTGCCTGCGGGACCCCAGCACCGCCGCTGTGCAGAGAAGCCACTCGGACCTGGTCTGCAGCACCCAGATCTGGGGCCACAGCAGTGCCCGAAAGGCCAGCCTCAGCTGCTCAGCCCTGGGCAGCTCGCCTGTCCATAGAGCTCAGCTGCAGCCCAGCAGCACTTCTGGCCAGGGTGGCCAAGCCCCTGCAGGCCTGGAAAGGGACCTGGCTCTGGAGGATGAGACTTCAAACTCAGCCTGGACACTGGAGGAGGGTCAGGTGTGGGTGCCGCCACCTGACCTGGGGGCACAATGAACCACAGCAGCAGCCTCAAAGCCACTGGGCAGTCGGCCACCACCTCCTGCCAAGCTCTGCCCCCAGCAGCCCTACTCTGTGGCGTGAGGAAGGTGGGGGCCAGCAGCTGCTGCCACGGCTTGCCTGCCCCAGGGATCCTGGCCTTTCCTAAACTAGTGGCATCAGTGAGTGAATCTGGGCTGCAGGCTCAGCATGGGGTGAAATTCCAGTGTAGGTTGCCTGCGGGGCTTCCTGGGCATTCCCACTGCTGTGCGTACCCTTGGGGTCCCACCTGGTTAGCTATGGAGGCCGGCGCCAGGACCAAGGATATGTGGACCATGACCTCAGCAAGTGACCTGGCCCCCATCTTGGCATCACCTCTGTCAGCCCAGGATGCTGGTGTGCAAGCGGCCCCCAAGGCAGTCTGCAAAGCTGTGGCCACCAGCCTGCCTCTGGAGGCCCCTGTGGCCCTGCACACATTCCCGGAGGTAACTCTGGGGTCCAGCCTGGAGGAGGTGCCATCCCCTGTGCGGGACGTGCGATGGGATGCTGAGGGCATGACATGGGGGGTGTATGGAGCTGCAGTGGACCCTGAGGTACTCGGCCTGGCCATCCAGAGCACCTGGAGATGCAGTTTGAGCAGCTGCAGCGGTCCCCTGCCAGCGAGAACAGCCTGTCTGCGGAGGGCCGGCGGGGGCCACTTCGAGCTGTCATGCAGTCCCTGCAGTGCCCCAGCTGCTGCGGCTGCTCCAGTGCAGTCCCTGAGTAAGGAGCTGCAGTCCCAGGAGCTGCCCTGGGCCCATGGACTCAGCCCCAGGGACAGTAGGGGCCCTGTGCCCTTTGGACCCACTGGCACCCATGGATGTGTCTCTTCTTGGCTGTCTGCAGACCACAGGACTGCAGCCTGGGGGCTTCCTGCCCCCTGCAGCTGGGCTAGTTTTTAAGGGCTTGATTTCCAAGAGCCACATCTGCACACCCGGCTCTGAACTCTGGTACAGTTTCAACACTGTGCATAAGGGGGCTCCTGACTTTTCTGTCAAAACCCTCGACCTTCTGTTCAGTCTCTCCTCAGAACTCTGCCATGATTTCCCCAGGCCTCTTGATGGCTTTATTTTCACAGCAGTGCTGAGATACAACGAATTCCTGCCATGAGACGTGGGGCCCCAAGTGGCAAGGACTGTCAGAGTCTTTAGGGGAGGGAACTGACATTGTGGAGGCCTCCATGTGCCACAGCCTGTACTCATCCCCTTACTTTGTGGAGTCTTTACCTCTTCACTCTGTTTTATAGACGCAACCACAGACATTGGCATGGCTGTAACTGCCATACCCTGGGTTGGACAGCTCGAGGTGGTGGGATGAGAGCAGAGCTGAGGCTGGCTGAAGCCTGTAGTATCTTCCTGCAGCACGTGGCTGGCAGCGCAGGGCAGTTGTGAACAAGAAGAATTTGAGCCCATGTTCCATGCCAGGTTCTGTGAATTCCTTAGGAAAGAAGCTGCCCGTGCCCTTGCTGAGCTCACAGTGTGTAGGATGGGGGACTCTGAGCATTACAGAGGACTGCAGGGTACTTCTAAGAGCCAGCCTCCCAGTAGGTCATTGTGTCAGGCGCTGGCCTCAGGAGGGAGAGAGCGGGTGGCCACCTGTCCCAAAATATGTTGCAGTGCCTGAAATTGTACCATTTTCACCTTGCTCCTTTGGCTTAAGGACTTATTCTCAGCTGGTGCAGTTCTTCAAAGGAGGGAGGGCAGGAATGGGTGGGAAAAGGGAAGGAGCCTGGGGTGGGGTCTCCCGCCTAGTGGGAAATGGCGGGAGCTGTGAGGCCATGGGGGGTCAGGGGACCATGGGGGTGGGGAGCTCAGGACACTGGCGCTTAGCACAGCCTGACTTCATTGACAAAGGAGCTCTCAAGACCTGCTGAGGATAAGGGTGAGTTTGTGTCCTTGTCCTGGGGCTTAGTGTTGGGGATTCCAAGCTCCTGGGACAGAATCCACCAGCGCCGCCTTGTGAGGGTGCCAAAGCTTAGTGCCCTGCCTAGAGTCACCTGGCATGGGAAGGTGGAGTCAGGGCCCACATGCAGCCTTGCCCATGGTCTGGCCCTGTTCCTGGGCCCCCTTCTGCACCCAGGAACCCAGGACCTGACAGCTGGCTTACCTTTCCCCACCCCCAAGGGCCCAGTACTCGAGGTGAAAATGACTCATGCAACAATGGGTTAACATTTAATGTAGGAGTGACATTCTAACAGGAACCAGGTGAGAAAGGCATGCTTCAGGTCAGAATGCATCCCAAGGCCCCAACATGGGGCTCTCTTACCCCAAAATGTGCCTTTCCCACTCCCAGCGGAGACCAGATAAAATGTCACCCCTGCTTGAAAATGACAGCAAATCAGAGCTGCTTCTGAGGGTAGGGCTGGGCCAGAGGGGTGGGTGTGGTGTGCAGGAGGGGACTTGACCTTACCCCCCTTTTAAAATGTGGTCAAGCAGGTTCTCTCATGCAGTCATAAGGCTCTTGGCACCGTGCAGCCTGGGGGCCTGGGCCTGTCCATCCCGACACCTGTGGTTCAGGGCAAGCATGTCACACTCCGGGGAGTGACATGTGGGTACCAGGGTGCCCTCATCTCTGGCCCTGCATGGGGGCACCAGGAGCCCCAGCTGTGAGGACACGGCGGGAGGAGTGATGAACTGGGGTAGGAAGGCATCTTCACACAGGGCCAGAGCTGAGCAGGGTCTTGACGACATAGCGGGGCTGGACTGGTGGGTGAGCAGGGAAGGGCATACCAGGCAGAGAGAACGGCCTGGCCAGAGGCTTGGAGGTGGCTGTCTTGCCCAGGCTGTGGTGAATCAGTGCAGTGCAGGCTGTGTTGGGGTGTCTGTTGTGTTGGGAGTCTGGCAAGGGGGTCCTAGTTGTGAGGCTCCTGGTGTGACTGAGGAAAGGGACTTTACAGGAGCTGTGGAAGCAGGGGTGGACAGACTTCATTACAGCAATGTCCCTTTGACTGCCATGACGGGAGATTCGTGTGGAAGAGGTGGGAGGGAGGAATGGGACTGGGGAATGGGAACCAAGGAGCGGCCTGTTAGGGGGAGATGGAGAGGGCAGCTAGGGCTGGGCGCGCGCGCGCACACGCGCACACACGCGCACACACACACACACAGCGTGTGATGGATTTGGGAAGGAGGAGGAATTCCAGGAAGCTGAGGCTTCCTGTCTGAGTAAAAGGAGGTGAGGCTACCACCTGGGACAAGGAGAGGCAGGTGGAGGTTGGGGAGGGACAGGTGAAAGGCTGCACGCCACAGGGCTTGGCTGGGACCAGTGACACCCTTCATGAAGAGACTTTCTCCTCTGTCCTATGCAAACCGTCATGAGTTCATTCTCCGTTTGCCACCTCTAGGCTGCACCTGGTATGTCAAGATGGCAGGCTGGGCTGTGCCCTGAATGGGGAGGGCTAGCCAGCCACCCACCTCATCGCAACTGAGATAAAGGTTTGCAGGGTGGCGCTGGAATCCAGCCTGGCCTGTGTCTGAGCTGGCGGCTGTGCATGGCTGGGGCCCCCAGAACACCCTCCTAGGTAAGCTTGCCACCCCCAGAACAGCGGAAATGGTGTCCTTGGCCTCACTAGCCCAGGCTGCACAGCCTCTGAGGACAAGTCTACTTGGAGCAGCTGCAGCTTAATTTTCGAATTCAACCTGGAGACCCAACCCTCCCATCCCCTTCTTGCTGTGGCCTTTCCCTGGCTGGGCCCGACTGGCAGTGGTTTAGGGTCCCACGACATGGCCACCAGCTTCGTTTACAGACCTCCTCCTCTCAGACTCCAGATTTCTGACCAGACTTTCTGGGACCCCTTCAGACCTGGCTCTGGAAGCTGGTGGATTTCATTATGTGTATGTCTGTTTTGTTTTGAATTTGAAATAAAGTAACGGAGATCACAGCTTTGTCAGGGAAGGGTCCAGTTGGTCCCGGCTGGTCTTGTTTTGTTTTGTTCTGGTAGATTCTGTCCTTTGGAGCATTCCCCAGTTTCCTAGAGCTCCCTGCTCAGGCAGGAATCACCTCTTCTCCAGGGATCTCCCTTCCGTCCACCAGCTCTCCTTCCTGGCAACCTGGGGCCCCAGTAGCTGAAGCCTGGCTCCCTGGAACTTGTCACCTGTGGGCCTGGCCAGGACACAGGGCATGCATCTCCTCTCCAAGTCCAAAGCTGCCATCACCGTCACAGGGATCACCAGTCTACCTGAGGGAGAAGCTACTCCTGCCAGAGTGTAGGCTACTGCTGGGCTGAGGGCACAGTGTGGGGGAGGGTGGAAAAGCAGAGAATGGCCCTGACCCACTGTGACATCACCTCCCGAATCCGCTGAATTGGGTCTCTGTCCTGCAGAGGTACTGGGTTTTTATTTCACAGGAGGCCCCCAATGCAGGTCCCGATACTTAGGATATTGAGGGGGGGCACTATAGCTTAGTAGTCTAAAACTTGAGTTTGAATCCTGGATCTCACCTATAGCTATGAGACCTGGGTCAAGTTACTAACCTCGCTGATCCTCAACTTCCTCATCTGTAAAATGGGGGTGATAACGATGCCTCCCTTGTTTGACTTGCTGTGAGGAGTAGACGAAGTAGCCCACTCAGGTACCTGGCGCTGAGTTAGCGCTTAGCACACGTCTGCTGTCGCTAGGGACCACTTGCACAGCCACCAGTGGGATCAGCTCTTGCCCTGTCAGCTTGGCCTTAATCAACGCCCACATTGTTTCCTTAAACCTCCCTCATTCAGAGCCTCTTTCCAGGTCCTTCACCCTCTGCCTTGAACCGTGCTTGGGACACAGGTATCCTGGCCCTGGTCCTCTGAAACCCTGGCTCCCAGAGCCATGTTAAGGAAAAGCATCCCATCTCTCACCGCTAGTCTGCAGTGGGCTCCCCAGAAGCTTTTCATTTCCCAACGTCTTTCCTGAGAAAAGACACAGCGTGCTTTCTCAGCATCCTATTAAGACGGCTGAGGGAGCAGAGCACCTCCGACGGCATCCATCCCAGGGGCAGTGGGGAGGCTCTGCAGGTCCTGCACCCACTGCCCTTGGTGCTCTTTCTCCCCCACCCCCTATTTATCTTTAATTTCAGTTCCCCCCTTTTCTCCTTTTGTCTCATGTCCTCTTTGCCCCCATAAACATTCTTTCTCCCCACCATCCATCCCACTGTCCCCGCATCCCGCTGCTTCTTTCCCTTTATGCCAAAGCTCTGCCTTGCCTTATCCCTTCTGCTCCAAACAGCAGTCTCTCTCTTCCCGTGGTCAGCGTCTTGGCATTCC